ACAAATTCATCCAAGCTAGTTGTTAACTTTCCTACGAGAATGATGTTGGTATTCTGAGTGAAATTGACATCTAACTGTTCAGAACATAATGTTATACAATACATCATTTGATAGATGAAGACCTTGACTTTCTAATGGTTATAGATAAGACATAATGAAACGTAAGAGAGAACTATAAAAGAATTGTGAAAGAGAGGATGTGACAGGTTGGTGTAGCAGGAGGGGTCCAATTTTCTATTTGAAATCTCTGTATTTAACCAAACAAAATTGAATAAACTATTGTTTGTCTGAGCAATTATGATTTTATAGAGTAATTTATGTTTAATTTCATACTTTTTGAGGGGTGGTGGATAAAATAGGGATGATGACACGCAAAGAGAAAATGTGTCACGTGGGTCACACTAGTGAAAATTCAGGATTTGTTTTTAATATTCCCCTGTAGAATTAAGAACTTAAAACTTGTATACTATTAAAATATGGATTATTAGCTAAGATTTTATGCTATTATAATTGGTATAACATAAACAAAAAGTAGTTTAATAAAATTTTGAATGTAAGACACTAAAACCTTGTGTCATGTGCAGTAAAGGATACACATGGCAAAAGGGTTAACAAAAATTACCATCAATAAAGTAATAAAGAATAAGCATTTAACAAAAATTACCATCAATAAAATAATAGAGAATAAGGACTTAAAAACTTAACTGGCACCAATAAAGTAATTACACAGAAATTGGTATCAATAAAGTAAATAAATCCAAACTGGTACCAATAAATTAATATGCCATCAATGAAGTAATAAAGAATAAATAATTCATCCAAAACTGGCTGGCATCTATAAAGTAATACCATCAATAAAGCAATAAAATTAAGGATTTCACCAAAAATACTATCAATAAAGTAATAAAGAATAATGAGTACAGAAATTGGGATCAATAAAGAAGTAAAGAATTAGGAGTTGACAAAAAAACTGGGATCAATAAAGTAATAAAGAATAAGGAATTTATCCCAAACTGGGATCAATAAAAGAATAAAAATAAGAATTTTACCAAATTAGCATCCATAAAGTATTAAAGCAGTGTTTTCCAAACTTTTATCACTCTCCCTTAAATAATGTTTTCTTGCATAACCACTTTTCTAAATGAGTGAAACAGTGAGTTAAAGTTAAGTGATGAGATATAATAGATGGATTCATATTAACCCTTTTGAGACGGCTCGTGGGTAAAAGGCCATGTCATCTCCTTTGTCGATTTGCATTCAAAATGTTATTCAACTACTATTTCATGAATATACATCAATAACTTTGGTATCAAACTTTAAATTATGATTCAAATTTAGTACTATATATTACTTAATTTCTTAATATAAAAGCAAATATTAAAAAACAGATAAACATAAATTTTTGTGTCACATGGTATGTTGAATACAGCACTGGTTCAAATTAGATGTTTCTGAAGTTAAAATACTAAGTCTATAGTTTCGTACAAATTTGAAACTCAAATTACTGATATTGGAAAACTAGAATATAAAATAAGAGCCTTTTATCTTTTCTATTTGTTAAGAAATTACTCATGTAATACATCATACACAGTGCCACCCCACCCACCTCTTTCCATTTTTGGAAACACTCCCGTATATACACTTACTTCTATGTATAACATGAATAACCAATTGGAAGCTCAGAATGTCCCCCTAGTGGTTTCCTCAGCCATTTCTTTCTTTTGAACCAATATTTCAATGAGGTAGGGTGTGTCTTTAGTATGCTTGAAATTTCAGATTTTTTTACACTAAATTACATCTTAGTTACTAAGCTTGATAAATTATAGTGGAATTCTATGGTATTGATGTAGTAATTGATAATTTTTTAGCTATTAAAATGTATATATATATATAAATGTATAATGTTATGAGATTTAAGCTATTTATTCTAAACATTTATGTTTTTGTGTTATAATCTATGTTCATTCTATAATGAAAGAGGCATAACTTATATTTATTTTCTAATTTTTTATGATGGTTGCAAGATCGGTCAAATCTACCAAACCCGTACAGAGATTAATTACTGAAAATAACAGATAAAATG